ACAACAGTTTGATTGCAGAACTCAGCGAAGATATAAATTCTGCAGGCTTGTTGACTTTCTCGGATCTGTAACATGCACAGACAAAGAAACGGCACTTTCTAGAATCCGTAACATCTAAACATATTGCCTTGACGGACTCCGGCTCCAATTTTCGATGCCTGTAGGCAGACAAGTCTTCCCATATGAACGCCATTAATCCACCTGCACCTTTTGTTCCGATCTCGTCGTACAATCCGGTATCCTAGGTGATAGAGTAAACTAGAGGAATACGATCTGTCCAACTTAGTTTCACCAATAAATAGAATATCAAACATATTCCGGTTCAACATTTGTTTAACCTCATCGAGCTTGTTTTGAATGGAGTTAATATTCAGATGAGCAATTTTAATGTTGGACTTATAGTAGCCGCTTATATTCCCTGAAAACCATTCCAATGAGTCAGGTATTGAATTGTCATCACTCATAACACTCAGTATTTCTTTGTTCACTGAATCCTCAAAGAAGCTGTCTGTAACCTGACACATGCAACAGGTAAAACAAAGCCATGTGCCATTCCTACGGTAGCTGTTCAATTCCTTTCTATTCATGCCAGTACACTTTAAGTGGAATAGGCCAGTACAACCAGAGCATAGCTCGCATTTTGGTTCTTTCTCATAGTTTTGACGCAGCTGGTGCACACACTTTTAGTAGGTTTCTCTGCGCTTCTCTTTCATTCCACTGTGGGTCTGGGATTTTTTGAAACGTCTGCCCTGATGACAATTCTTGCCAGTTGAAAGCAACAATCGCTATTCAGGCAGTAGCTTAGTTTCACTCCGAGATACTTTGTTCTCACACACGCAGCCCTCGCAGTGAAAATATTCCTCAAAGTACACGAATATTCGCAGCACTGTGAAAAACTGATCCAGTGCTTATTGAAGTTTTCTTCAAGATGTCAATAGAGCTAAATATCAGAATAAGTGTAACAAGAGGGCTCAGATTAATAAAAGTGATAGGAACTCTACCACGGCCCACCATCTTGTACACCATTAAATTACATATTTTCTATGATCATGTTACCTACTGGCTTATGTGATGAGATGAATGTTTATGGAAATTTCAAGAAATTAGCATCTACATATCTAGTAAATAACAACATACCTACCTTTCATGTGGTTTGATTTTCTTGTCTTGATCACTTTTGCTGTCAAATTCCTGCAACAAAAATCTGTCAGTTCTACAGCTTGATTATTTTGATATAAGGTAGTCCTGAGAAGGATGGCAGTTGGTGATTGTTTTCAGTACTGATACAAGGGATACACAACATGAGTGATACACAACATGAGGGATACACAACATGAGGGATACTTCTTATTAATTATGAACTAACAAGCTGTTTATCATTTAAATACTTATGCATGATTTCCACCTTACATGTGACAAAGGTGTCTTAAACACAATAATCCTCTCTCCTGGTATGGGTACCCCACAACGTGTATAGTCTCTCCACCTGCCATGAATTAGAACAAACTCAATGCTAATCATTGCTTACAATCTCAAAAATTTCAAACAAATCCATGGAGTTTCACAAAGGTTTAAAGTGCAGCTAAACCAAAAATTTTTTTTGCTTAATGAAATAAGCATATTTTTTGGAGTATTTTTGTGCAAAAATTTTTCAATTTGTTCAAATCTTTAATTTTCTGTGCC